AATGTCTCAAAATTTTTTCGTGGCACCTTCAGAGGGTACTCTTTGAAAATTTAGACGACCGGAAGCTACCGGAACGCCCCTGTCAAAACGCGAGGGGGGGTGATCCATGTTTGGGTCAGACCCAAATATTGATCACTAAAATCAGTGAAATTTCAAAGCCCTGTAAATTTCAAAGTATTTGTCATAAAATGTTCAGCTCTTGAGAGGAGGTTGTTTTTGTGGTCATCTTGCAGCGTATCAAAGAAAATTTGGGTTATCGCTTGTTTGAGCCGAGGACATTTCTAAAAAGTGATCCATGATTGGTAACCTTACCCTAAACATGATTCCACAGCACACGACCTTTAGATTAGTCATCTCAACACGTATGGAACTGCCATAGGGAAGCCAGGGCACCCCTGTGTTACTAGGTGCCCCTGTCACTAGGTGCCCCACCCTCCCTTACGAATTATTTCTTCGTATGGTCAAAATGGTCAAAATATTTTATAAGGCTTTATCCATGTGTAATTTGTATTGCCTTCTAAAAGTAGAATTGGCAGTATTCAGTAGAACAGCATTTGATTTTGCAGTGCAAGTGAGGCACCTCTATTCCACTATTTATGTCGATGGCGTGGCGCGTGTAATTTCCTCGCTCCTTGTTCGCTCGCCTCCCCTTGCGTCCTTGATAGTGACCGCGTCAAACACCACTCAACTTTTTCCGCTTTGGAGCACCTGTTCGATAAGGACTTTTTCCTTAAACCGTATCAGATACGGCAGCAATCACAGCAAAGAACAAAGTGGGTTTATGTCAATCGCAAATAGGCTTCGCACAAAATTGAACATGCGTTTTGAAATGCACGAATTTGTGGGTAACTAAGCACGAAAGTGTGCGTTCATGCGCCAAAAAATATCGTGTATATTGAAACGGGTGCTTAGTTTTGAGCAAAGCAATATGCACAAAAAAAGTACGTAGTAAATTGTGTGTGCGTCCACGCTCCTAATGTCTTACAATAAAATCTGTGCCAACTCGCAGTGAGCCAGAAGACCGGTGGAGGCGGCCAAAATGTTTGACGCGTTTTGGAGCTGCAAAGTCTTTAACGGCCTTTTGAGCTCGAGTCACTTGACAGGCCCCTAACCGAGCGTGTGACTCCCACCCTGGAAAAAAAAGTAAGTGGCGAAGTGTGACTGAAGTGGTTATGAAGTGGCACTTAAGAACCAGGTGGCAGAAAAGTGGTAAGGTGGGTATTTAGTGGCATTTAACTGGTTAGGTGGCTATGAAGTGCAAAGTGGTAAAGTGGCAACCAAGAATTTTTTGTAAGTGGCATTTAAGAGGCATTTGAGTGGTTAGGTGGCAATTAAGACCCAAGAGTCAAAGTGGCAACTGGGATTTTTTAAAAACAGATGAGTGAAGGTAGAACTTAAAAAAATATATATTTATTATACAAAGTTTCAAAACTAAGAAGTTTAATCTCCAACACATCCATATGGCAAACACGTAGCATACAACACATTCTCATCAACATCCATAAAGACACACTGGCCTCCTACATAAGATGGATACACAGCAAATAGATTACCATCCTGTACAATTTTTTGTATATGCCTGACAGATAGTTCCCCAACCCTCCACAATGCATTTCTATCTACAACTTTTTTCTGAACCAATAAAATAATCTTGTCATTTTGATGAGCGTCAGGAACTCTTAAAAATTTTTTTAGCACACATTTTTTGCCGTCTTTCAGGTACATTCCACAATCCCTTTTTTTGGTGGATCTTCCATAGTTTTCTGTTGAAAATGTTACTCCTCCAATCATAATTTTTTGATATTCCAAAACAAATTCTTGGTAAATCTCCATATCCAACTGCTGCACAGCGACTCTCTCATCATATGACAGCTGGCAGTCTGCTCCATTTCCGAGAGCAACACAATTACCGTCTCTTACAGCAATCCAAATGCGTTTGGTAAAAAGCTCACTACAGTATTCAAGAACTGCATCACAGACACCGAATCTTGAAGCCAAGTTGGGCAAATTTTTGCACATGTAGTATTTTCTTGCCACACCTTTAGCAACTTTGTATGGGCTCTTAGCCCAACCCAAGATTTCTTTATTCTCTCCCTCATAAGGGTAACAGGTGTGAGACCACACTGGGCCGTGATGTAACACGGCATTCACGACGTGTAAGAGGAGGTGGATGTTGAAAGTCATCTTTTCAAGACCAAAATATTTCTCATATTTTATGCAGTACAAAATAAGCATTTGACCACAATATTCAAGCAGGTCCAAAGGAGTAGACTTTTGAAGCAAAGTGTGCAAGGCACCGGATAAAAGTGCAAAATGAGACACATACTTGTCAGGTACAATACCTTCCATAATTACAGGCCCATAAACCACTACCAATGACCTCCACTCACTAGCAGTAAATTTTTCTCTGTATTTGAGGTCTCTGGGAGTTCTTGTCATAGCTGAAGGAGTTTTTATTTTCAGCGCTCTCTCAGACATTTTTATGATGTCATCTTCACTTAGTTTTAAAAAGAGATTATTTAAATGCTGATTCACAACGCCCTCTGTGTAGTGCAGGAAATCTGGTACTGGTCCTAAAGCAAGGTCAAAGTAATCCAAATTAATCAGGGGAGATAATCCTTTACATCCTTTCACAATACGGTTTTCTTCATGTGCCTTCAGCATGTTTTCTTTCATGCCTTCATGAGTGCGAAGAGGAGGTGGATTTTCAAGCATACCATAGCGAATTCCAGCTTTTGGGACATGCTCACCTGGGTGCTCACAAAAAGTGCATCCATCATACCCAGCAAAACTTTTGTGGTTCAGGAGTTTGTACCGTTCTTGGGAGTCAACACAGCAACAGATAGGTATGACTCGTGAATGAACAGTTTCATCATCGTGCTGCCAGTCAAAACCAGTAGACGATAATTTATTACACTCATCCACAAAGGGTTGCAACATAACTTCCATCTTAGGTTTTGATTTTCCAACCCAGATTCCAACCATTAACATATTTTTTACTCTTAGCTTAGGTGGAAGCTCGTTTATCATTATGTATATAGGATAAATTTGTTGATGAGAGGTTTTCCCATATGGTACGCCGTCTGTGTTCCAAGAGAACGAGATGTTTTCAGGTATAGAAAGGGGTTGGCCAGGTGCACTCAACCTTTTATAAATCAGACCATCGTACACATCTTCTATGGCATTTTCATTTATCTTTCTTCGAGTATATCTATAGATTAAACTTTCAGCAATGCCATCCACCGTCTCTAGTAATTTCTTAAGCTGACTCTCCATTCCTAATGATATGAAATACGAGTCCGCATTAATTGCTTTGTCTATTTGCCAGCCACATGTACATGAAATTTCTCTATTTAGATCCTTTTCTTGAACTCCAATCAAATAAGTATTGCACTGAGGACAATAAATATGATACAAGTCTTGAGACCTATCTGGCTCAGCAAACTTCATCAGATTGTACAGAGTGGGTGGAATTACTTCTCTCTTGAAAATGGTGTTTATCATTGCAATATTATCTAAGATGGCATTGAATGATAAGACATGACGAAATCCCAGTGACAGATTCATAAAAAGAACTTCGCCAACTGTAATATCAGTGCATGGACACACATGGTCATCCTGTTCTCTGATAATGATGTCATTTTGCAATGCATTGTTCTCTAAAATTCCTTCAGGTGGAATAAATACATTGTCATCTTCCTCTGAATCAGTCTCATGATCTGACGACGAAGGCTCTGAAGATGTTGACTCTGATGACGAAGGCTGTGATGACGATGACTCTGGTGATGGAGGGTCGCTATCTCCTGAAGACGAAGGTTCTGAAGGCTCTGAAGGTTCTGAAGGCTCTGAAGGTTCTGAAGGCTCTGGAGGGTCGTCATTACTGGACAACTCTGATTCTGAAGTAAATTGATTATCATCTGGCGGTGAAGGTGGGTTGAAATGCTTCACATGAAAAGAAAAAATTTAAATAGGAAATATTTCATGACATTTTTAAATTAGTGCTTATGTAAGCAAAAAGTATAGCACCTACCAATAGACCATGCCTAAGATTCGAGGTTCTTGGCTCAGTGGATTCAAAGACTGATGCACTTGTTCCACTTTGATAACAGGATGCCGCTGATAATTCAAGAGGGTTCTGAAAAAATATAAATGAAAAATTAGAACCTAAGCATTTAATATACATTAGCGGGATCGATAAATTCATTAAAACTATTTACATTGATCAGGGTTGGATCATCGTCTGATGGTGTACTAGATGGAGTGTTATCTGGCAAGGCCTGAAGGCTGGAATGAGGAGCTCCCGCAATCTGAAATTTCAATGTAATGTTACCCTAGAACCATTTAAATCTTAATGCTTACACCATAAATAACGTTTCTGTTACCTCCAATGATGAAGAGCTGTCATCACTGTCAACAAAGGGTTGTGGTGCTGGAAAAACGATGGGCTGGATATCCTGTGACTATAAATCCGAAATGTTTACAAACACACCATAGAAAACATAACCTAAGATTTTTCAAAAACAAATAATAGTGACGCACCTGAAGTAAACGGTCACGCTGCTTTCGTTTGCCTGTTCGTGACAATTCATCCTTTTTGAAACGTTTAGGTGGGGATCCTTCATCTGACATTGTAAAAACAATACTTTGTCATCTAATTTCCCTGCACTTGCAGCACTTGTCAAAAACTGAAACCTGTCTCTGCAGGGGACTGTGGGTACGTTCCTGACGTCACACGTCAATCGTGGTCAATCATCCATTAATTATTGCAAGCGTTATCTATATTATATAGGGCTTGATATTCTTCAAACCACCAAAACCCAAACAAAATCGACTAAATCTCAACAGTGCAAAGCGGCAAAGTAAAAAATGATCACAGAGGTCTGACGCAACCAGACAGCGACTATGTGATGAAAGGAACGCACCCACGCTAGACTCAACTGTTTACAGTCAAATGGTCGAATACAAACTTCGGTGTAGTGTCAACAGCGTGTGAAAGAATGATGTATGCTGCTATTTGGCCTCTCACGGCTCTGAGGAAGGAGGACTTTATGATAGTTCCTTCAACTCAAATTAAAAAGTTCCAACCCCAACATGACAAAGATTTTGGGGCCAAAACAGTTTACAAATACAAGCCTCCATCCGCACCAAAATCAACACAAGTGTTTATTTTGGCTTTGGCTGGTGAGTACTTCATACCTCTCAGAGAAATATCAAAATCGAATCGCAGTTAACAAACATTTTACGTGTTGCAGAGAGTGAAGCTGCCCTAAAGATAAAAATGATGGAATCAAGAATTCACTATCCGAACAGGAAGTCTATAAATCCGGCCTCCTCTACAACAGAAGAAGACGCCAATTCTGAAGCGGTTTGTTTACATTCATTTGAAGCAATTGTTTTAGATGCTATGTGTTATTTTGAGTGTCTAAATGTTGTGCATGTATATTCATCAGTTTACCATTTGTCCTTAGGCATTAGCTAAAGCAAAAAAAGGTGAAGGTGAAAAGAGAAATGCTTCCCAGATATTGAATAAGTATAAAACTAAATTATTTAGTAACACTTCGACAGAGGACTTGAGCAAGGCGAAAAGAATCAACCTTCAAGGTTCTTCTCTTCAAGAAGGGCGGTTGCCTGTGAAGAGTTCTGGTTCTAAAACCTCCAATATCCCCGTAAAAATAGTAGTGAAAAAGCCATTATTACAAGGTTCTGGTGTGGGAGGAGATACGCAGCCTCCTGCTGAAGATTCTGTAGTAACACCCGAAGGAACATCCAGCCAGAACACTCCGCCAGTTCTGTCTTCTTCTTCAGTGTCAGAATTTGTCAATCTTCAGAAAGAAATGAAGTTACTTCAGCAGAAGAATGTCATCCTTGAGAAGAAGCTGCAGCAGATTTCCAATGAACGTCTTGAGGCTAGCCAAAGTGAACTTGAAATAGTAAAAAGCAACATAAAAGAAACACTAGATCAAGAACTCCTAAAAATAAAAGATCAGATAAGAGATACTTTTAATGCTGAAAGACAAGAATTGGAAAAATCACTGCAAGCCAGATTGGAGAATATCCCAGGCAAGTGCATTCTTAATCAGAAGCTTAATATTGTCAGCATTGATGTATGATTTCTAACTAATATTTCTGTCCTCAGGTCCATCTAAACCAAGAATAATCCACAAAATTATTAATACCAGAAAGCTTGACAAGGATCCTACAGAAGGCCACCTACCATCTGTTGAATTGGTAAAGCATGCCTTTCATTTCTTTCTTCAGTCATTTCTTTCAACGTTGTGGAATTTAATCAATACTCTTTTTGTCTTAGGTAAACATCGGACATGGAGTGCAGGCAGACAATGACATATGGTCAACTATTGAAGGTAATACTTCCAAAGATGACTGGGCATACAGTGCACTCCTAGCTGTCTTTGGTGAGCAGGCCAAGTTCTACAGAGTTAGAAAACCAAGAAGTAAGGATGCAGATCTGAGACAGTTTCCGAGTAAACCACCTGTCCTCTTTGTTCTGCAACGTAAGTCACCATTAACATAATTTGTATTTTTACAAAATCAAGATCTTGAAATTATGTTAAAGACATGGTCCTTTCCTTTCCTCAGACTACTACAAATCATGGCTGAAGAAAAATCCGTGTGTTTTAGATGAGAAACCAAAAATGAAAAAAAATGAAGCTCCCATTGCAGATGAGGAATGGGTGCAATTCTTAGAAGACGAGACGCAGGCAGATCGAGAGAAGAGGAGGGCGGTTACCCTTCCTGCAATGGTCAAGCAACTAGGAGGGCTTTTAGGGGACAAGGCCATTAACATGTACAGGGCATCAAAAGGGAGGACACGAGGAGCTTCTGGTGAAGACAGGTCTGCATTAATAACTGACAAAGAAATGAAAATTTTCAAACATTAAATAAATTTTCTGTTGACCCCCCCTTTTTTTTTCTTTTCAGCAGTGGTGACAGTTCGAGTTCAGAGTCTGACCACGACCAGTCTGACAGCAATCACCAAGATGACAAAACTGACCAAAATGATGAGAACGACAGCAGCAGCAGCTCCTCAACTAATTGACTCCAAATTTCTTCACATCATGTTTATTATGATTATTTAGGCACTCATTTTATATGTGTTATCCTCTCATGGTTCTATATTTTATATTTTGTTCTTTATCAGAGAAATTATTAGAGTTTATACTTGAGTTATTATTGTCTTGTTTTAAGACTAATATTAGATAGTTTATTTATTATTATTATGAACCTTGATGTTTGGAGTGACCAGGATCTTTTTTTCTGATAATAAACTGAATTAATGTGAAGTCTAATTGTTTTGTTTTTGAAACAGTCCTATTACTCCAGGAAGTTAACCATCCATTAAAAAAATTTACATATATATATATATATATATATATTTACCAGTACTGTGGGCCATGCTCAACCCCTTTATTGCCACCTAGATGCCATTTCGCCTCCTGCAAGCCACTTCACTCCTTGCATACTCCTGTCAGCCACTTTACCACCTTGCCACTTGAAATGTCAAAATCCACTTAGAAACCACTTGGCCAAGGTGGCATCCAGGTGTCACTTAACTGCCACTTAAGTCACACCTCGCCACTTACTTTTTTTCCCAGGGCACCAAATGGATTCCTCGTTGGTGCGGTTCACTGCTATACTCTGTCCAGAAAACGAAGAGCCCTGAGTCCTCGCGGTTTATGACATCTGCCGCCTTGGCTAGCATTGCAGGTAGCCCTCGACCGCGAGAACCCAGGGCTCTTCGTTTTCTGGTCAGAGTATAGAAAAGGTGTGAAAAGTACAACAAAAACTGTACACTAAATGTACAAAAGGATTGTACAAAGTACAACGAGAACTCTACAAACCACAACGAGGCCTGGACTGCACAGCACTCGTCATGCCCGTCCCATTGTACTTTGTACAACAATTGTTACTTTGAAAGTACAATAAATTCCTGATAAAAAAATTGGCCAGAACTTTGTGTACTTTCGTTGTGATTTTTTCTTGCAGTGTTACGCGTTCGGTTAGACTCCCGATTCACCGACTCCGGAGCTCAAAACGAGTCTGCGACTTTGACCACACTCCTTCGTAATTCGAATAGTTTCAGCGTTTTCATTGTGAGATACAAAGAAAAACCTTCGTAATACGAAGAAAAACCACCTTCGTATTACACTTGCGCGATGTCCTTCGTATTCTGGGAAATTTCTTCGTAGAACATTAAGAGTGCTCCAGGACCGGTGCAACTCTCCCTCACCGGAGGAGACCCCCACCCATACCCATCCTGTATACCATGACTTGGCCAAGAGACTTTGCTATCGCCCAGACATCAGCATCGCGTCTCTCCCCAAGACGTGATATAAATGACGATGTAGAGCGAGTGCCTTGCCAGTAGCACTTCCTTCATCATGCCGTCGTATCTTCTTCGAACTCTGCTCTGTCTGGCGTGGGTATGGCTGCGGCTGCAAGGTAAGTAACACTGAGATTTCAAACGCTGTGAGCTGTAGGACGCTATATTTGTAGCGTTTGGATTCCCAGTGAAGACGTGCCCCATCACATTTTTGCACACTTCCATACTATGCCGTTGTTTATTCTTTGCGCATACCTTTCGCATAAAATTGCGGACGCACGTAAAATGTAGGAATTCATGTGCAAACAAAGCTTAGCCTATGTATAAATCACTACTGTGTAACTGCTTTGTGAAAAAAAATAAGTAGGCCGTACGTTTTTTATATTTTTTGTGCGAGTAGTGTTTTGATTGAACACCATGTTTGGAAGGTTCTGCGGCCACTTGTGCATCCGACCAGTGTAATGTTCCACGTGGCGTCGTCAATAGGTTAGGGCGAGGCTTCAATAAAAGATCGAGACTTAGTTTTCCATGTCTATTCCACAGGCCGCTCAGTCGTCAAGTGACAGGTTACAGCTGATTCATTATTTACAGAGTGATTTATATACAGAACAAAACTCTCTATTGGCAGATGCAACTCTCTATTAGCAGTCATACATTATATACACTACATCACCCTTCCCTTTTTATTTTTGGGTAAATCACATTAATAAATCAAACCAAATACAGCAGCGTAAACATAGACTGAGACAAACAATCAGGTACAGTAGCATATACACAACTTAGAACATATGACAAGTAAAGTACATCAAATAGAATATGTAATTGACATCAGGTATAGTTAACATGAGCAGCAATAAAATACAAAATAAAACACAATCAGGTAGCAGTAGAAAAATACAAGACATGTACAAAATAGAAACACTAAAATTAAAAGCACAATTAGAGCTTTAAACAGCTTAAGTACAGCAGCAATAAAACATCAATTAGAAGGGTACAGAATTTATTTGAAAGTCTTTAAGATGAAATGGCAATTTCCTAACATTACTCGGACGCAATCGTGACTTTAATGGAGTAGACACAACAGCCGGCAAAGGTGAACTTGGACCAACTGGGCTGGATTCTTGAGTTGCTCCAGGGCTAGACATCACCGGAACTGTCCTTGGTGAGGGAACATTGGGGTCCAGGCCCAACTGAACGTTGTCCAAAGTTGGGGTAGGAGTCGAAGACGATTCATTGGAAGCAGGGATTTCTGGAGCCAACGAAGGAGCAGTACGAGCAACATAAGGTTTAACAAAAGAACTGTTGCGCTCGACTATCCTGCCGTTTGGAGACTGGACCCAAACTTTAGATCCCTCCTTCTTCACCAACGTGTAGGGTATAGGCTCATATTTGGTAGTGAGCTTGTTGGACTTTTTCTGCTGAAGTAAAACTCCATCCCCTGGAGCCAAAGTTGAGGGTTGAGCATGTCTCGTCTGATCCACATACTCCTTGTTTCTTGCTTTAGCCAAGACGTCCCGGTCTCGAACTTCTTCATCATTCCACGGGGAGCTTGGAGAAATCAGCGAAGGAATCTTGTCTTTGATCTTCCTACCAGTCATCAATTCAAGAGGAGAAACACCAGTTACTGAATGGGGTGTGGAGCGATAAGCAAAGAGAAAGGTTTGGAGCTCCTTTTTCCAGTTCTTTCCTTCGGCTGCAGCAATTTTCAGGCGTTTCAGAATAGTCTTGTTCTGCCTTTCAACTTCACCATTTGCCTGAGGCCACAGCGGGGTAACCAACCTATGGACAACCCCAACATCTTGTAGATATGCCTCAAATTCCTTGGCGGCAAAGCAGGGTCCATTGTCCGTTACCAGAATAAACGGGTATCCCCATCTTGAAAAGATGTACTCCAGGCATTCTATGGTCTTCTCCGCAGTGATTTTCTTAGTTGACAAAATCTCAACATATCTACTATAGTAACAGACAGCTACTAAGAGATAATCACCAGAAGGCAGGGGGCCCATGTAATCACAACTTACCATCTCCCAACAAGCCATGGGGAGAGGAGTTGGCTGCATAGGCTCAGGGTTACTCGAGTCAGTTACCAATTGGCATCCATGGCAACTACGTACCCAATTTTCAGCATCCTTGTGGATTGAGTCCCACCAAACCTTGGTTCTCAGACGCTGTTTAGTGGCAACCACTCCCATGTGGCCCTCATGAGCCAAAGCTAGAACTCTTTCTTGAAGGCTTTTGGGAATAACCAAACTGGTGTTCTTGAGTAACACCCCGTCCACAACACAGAGTTCAGACTTGATGAGCTCATATTTCCTCAAATGAGCAGGCCAGATGTCTGACTGTACTGACTTAATAACAGCAGACAACAATTCATCAGAACCTGTTGATTCCTGGAGTTCAGACATAGAAACACATTTAGGAGTAAGATCAGCAACAAGAGCTCTAATTACCCACTCTTCGGACACTTCTTGATCCATTTTGGAAGTATCCAGCAAGCGTGACAAACAATCAGCAATGTTTGTCTTTCCTGGTTTATAGACTACAGTATACTTGAAGGGCATGAGTCGAAGTACCCATCTCTCAATTCTGGCACAAGGTTTACTTGCTGGTCTGAAGATGAACTCTAGGGCTTTGTGGTCCGTAATCAAGGTGAAGACCGTGCCCAACAGATAAGGAGAGAGTGTTTCAGCAGCCCACACCAATGCTAAAGCTTCTTTCTCGGTTTGAGAATATTTCCGTTCTAGAGGGGTAAGGGTTTTAGAAATAAAAGTGATTACTCTATTAACAAGCTCACCCTTGAACCTTTGGCGTTGATAAAGGACTGCTCCCAGCCCCACTGGGCCAGCATCCGCAACAAGTATCGTTGGGGCTTGGGGATCAAAATACGCCAGAATTGATTTAGAAGATAGAGCCTCCTTCAACAATCGGAAGCTGGTTCTCTGCTCTTCATTCCAACAGAAACTGGTTCCTTGCCTTGTCAGTTTCCGCAGAGGTTCTGCAACAGTGGCAAAATTAGGTATGAACGGAGAACAAAAATTAACCAGGCCCAGAAAACTGTGAACTTCATCCGCATTCTGAGGTTCTCGAAATTCTTGAATGGCTGTTATACTTTTATCACTGGGTTGATAACCAATGGCTGAGATTCTTCTACCCATGAACTCAATCTCTGCTACAGAAAATTCACATTTGTCCAAGTTCAAAGTATAATTAGCCTGCTGCAAGGTTTGGAGCACCTCATGCAGCGCGTTGTCATGCTCCTCTTGGTTTCTTCCATAAATAACTCCATCATCCCACATCAGCACGAAGTTCTTGAGGTGATGAGTGATACTACAAACAGTAGAATAAGCCAACTCAGGGGAACAGCAGAGTCCAAAAAATAAAACTCTATATCTGAAGAGCCCAAAGGGGGTACTGAACGTCCCAACATCTCGAGACTCTTTAGCAATCGGGTGCTGGTGAAAGAAAAGATTGAAGTCAACCTTGGAAAAAACAGCTGCCCCATTGAATCGAGCCAAACAATCCTCAACTCGAGGGATAGGATACATCACTTTATCCACATGTTGGTTAACTTGCCTCATGTCAACAACCAATCTAAATTTCCCTGGCTCTTTTTTAGGAACCAAGTGAGAAGGGGAAATGAACTTCGGGATATGGCTTGAAGGTACTCGTTCAATAATCTTGTGAGACAACAAATCCGAGACAATTTCTTCCATAGGTTTCAGATAGTGAAATGCAACTCTTCTTTGAGGCTGGATGATGCGAGGAGCATCTTTCTTGATAGGGATAATCAATTCTGTTCCACCAATCCTGCCAACTCCCTTAAACAGATCAGGGTATTTGTTAGCAATAAACATCTTAGTTGGGGAAACACCGACAGCATTAACTTTATCACAAGCTTGCAAACCCAGACGGAGGACTCCTAAGGCAATGGCAGTGTCCTTTCCCAACAAAGCTTCTGCATTGTCAGGCACATCAGCAACATAAAATTTGGCACTCTTAACCATATTTCCATTTTGCACAGCTATGTCAGCAGTAAATTCTCCTATTATTTTCACAGAACTGCCAATATCTTGAGCACCATAAGGACGGAGAACTTTCTTTTCTTCTTTAAAAGCACAACTAACTTTCCGTTTAAGAATCTTCCACAGGTGATTAGGGATTACATTCCGTTTGGTACCAGAGTCAATCAGCATTGTCAAATCATAGTTGCCAACAGAAACCTGCAGGTACTCACTTTTATCTCTTGAAGTCTCCAAATCCACTTGATTGACCCTCTCAGCCAGGCGAAAAGCTCGCATTACATCAGAGTCTTCACTATCCGATGACTCCTGGTGGCCTTCTGACAGTTGTCTGGCCTGAAACGCTTTGACCTTAGCCTTGCCTGTTAGACATCTTCTCCACCAATGTCCCTTCAGTCCACATTTATTACATGTGGCTTCAATGGCTGGGCAGGCAGGGTCATCCTTTGAGTGGTCTCGATTGGTGCACCTAGTACATTTGAGATTATTAGCATGATTGACAGACTTAAACTCTTTAGTAGGTTTACCATCCTCACTGAGAAAAAAGTCTGGTTAAAAGTACCAGACCAATCCTAGTTAAACGAGTACTAGTTACTCATACGAGAATCCTAGTAACTCTCACCAGATGATCAGTTGCAGTAACCAGATCGGGTGTGGTGACATTTACCAGGTGTCTGGTTAATAATCCTGGTAAATTTTACCAGACTGTTCAGTAATTGGCACCATACGTAAAACTTCAAAATATTTGTTTCAAGTGAAATGTTCGGGTGTCAAAAAGTAAACTGCAACCGGTTTCGTTATTTTCGGAGTCTTAAATCCGAAAGAAACACTGGGAGTATTTCCCTGAGCCAGACACGTAGAGAGTCACCTGGTGGGGATCCCCTCGACCCACAGGCGACGTGGTGGCGCAGTGGTAACGTGCCCGTCTCACAAGTGTGAGATCCCGGTTCGAATCCGGAGGAGAGGAGGAGGGAAAAAAACAATTCAGAGGTTGTTCGTCAACGAAATCGACGTCACATCAGGTTTCAACACTACGAAAAAATATTTTATTAAATTTTGGACTTCTGACTTCAGTTTTGTAAGCACATAAACTAACCAGGATGTTTGGTAAAAACTACCAGAAGGGGACCTGCCGGCTTTGTAAGGATAACTATAAATCTGGTACGGTTTACTAGACTGAGGCCAACTAGACAGTTTAGTATTTTGTACCAGAATTCTAGTTGAGTTATATTCTATCAGACAGTCTGGTATTTGGTACCAGGATTCTGGTTATCGTTACTAGACTTTTTTCTCAGTGCTGTTTCTTAAAGTTCTTCGGAGATTTATTCTTGAATTTCAGACGATTAAGTCCCTCACTCAATGCTGTAGAAGCTTGGGCCTGTTGTAACAACTTCTCATATGTTATTGACATTGACAGGGCACTCTGGAGCGTGAACGGGTTAGCTTGAGTTGCCGCCAACACCGACTTGTTTATCTCCATTTTCAAATCCGCCCAAGGGCACTTAGCACACAGCCGATCTCTAATCATATCATCCAAGGAAACTCCAAAATTACAATAGGCAGCCTGGGCTCTCAGCTTTTGGACAAAAGAGTCAATTGTGTCACCCGACTCGTACTTCAAGTCAAAGAAAACCTCTCTTTCATAAATGGAATTCTTCTGAGGCTCAAAGTGATTGGTCAATAGGGTTACAGCGGTTTCAAACAGCCTACTTACGAGTCCATTGTAAGCCACCAGTGCTTGTTCGTACTGAGCTATGACTGGAGCCCCAGCATCAGCTGGCGGAGGATCAGGTGCGATGGGATCCGCAGCAGCAAGCGAAAAGTGGATTTCTTCGACTTGACGACCAGCTTTGTGTAAGAGCATTGCTCTTTGTCTTCGGGGATCTACAATTCCCTTGGCCTCTATGAAATTTCTAGCTCGCCGCACCCAGCATCGCCAGCGTGGGCCCACGCTCGAAGGGTTGAGATAGGGATCAAAGCTCTCCAACCCATCTTTGGAATCAGCCATCTTCTTGCAGAACCTCACCTCGTCGCCAGTTGTAATGTTCCAGGTGGCGTCGTCAATAGGTTAGGGCGAGGCTTCAATAAAAGATCGAGACTTAGTTTTCCATGTCTATTCCACAGGCCGCTCAGTCGTCAAGTGACAGGTTACAGCTGATTCATTATTTACAGAGTGATTTATATACAGAACAAAACTCTCTATTGGCAGATGCAACTCTCTATTAGCAGTCATACATTATATACACTACAACCAGTTTGAGTGCGTCCTCAATGGTAACTGCATTCCATTGAACTGGGTCTGCGATGTTTCGAAAGATTGTGCAGATGGCTCCGATGAAGCAGCGTGCAATGGTGAGGTATCAAATGATTTTATTTTAGGCCCGTCCCGTAAATGTTATTGTTGAAATTTTGAGCGAGACATCACAGTTTTTTGTGGAGATGAACTTATTCAACAAATTTGTACGCAAATTTGTCCAAAAGTGGCTAAATATGTGCTGTTTTCCGTACGGAATTTGTACACAAGGTAGGTTTACGCCAGACCGCGTCTTGTCGTAACAGGCTTCGCGATGTCTCGCTGCCTGCTCCTCCAATCCACGCCTGGCGTACCTACCTTGGCCTGCGGCGCTAGCCTGCCTGTGGCAGGCAATGGCTTGTCCGTTGTCGGTTATTTTTTAACTTGTTGAATGCTGGGGGGCTCCGCCCCCCAGACCCCCCTACATTCTAAATAGAGTTGTTTTATCTACAGATAACACGATCTTGACCTTTGTCACTTTTTAACTTGTCGTAGCTGGGGGGCTCCGCCCCCCAGACCCCTCTTTCTCCAAGACAGAAGTGATCCAGGAAGCGGAAGAAGGGAATAACTTGACTTATCCCCAAATTGAGTTTGTATTTTAATATTGTGCCTTAGAATGGTTTCCATCATTATACCAAATTATTTGACTGAATTCCAAGCGGTTTAGGAGAAAATCCACATGGAAAAAGGGTATAACTCAACTTAACCCCTTTTACGGTCTAAATTTCATTGGAAAATGGAGATAACTCAACGGAAGTCCACATGAGTCCGTTTGACAAATTGGCAAAAGGATATAACTCAACTTGTATTTTTATGAATCTTGTGTAAAAAGATTCAACTCAACTTAGCCCCCCCTTAATTTTAAATTTCAATTTGGAAAAAAGAGCTAAGTCCAAAAAATACACCAGAGTAACATACACTTTATGCAGACTATTGTTCCACTTGACTTGTCTCCAAATTCCTCTTTGTTTAGGAAATATAAGGTGAGCTGACTCTGTATTCCATTTCAACAGAAAGCGATAAGTTGTAGAAATCCTCTACGGAGTGACCTTACACTTTTTATTTTTTTTTCCAAAATTTTACTAATGCTTTTTGAAATTATTAACATGTGCAACATTCATTTGTTTTGTTTTAGTTTTCCCTCCTAACAGTTTTTGGTTTCTCCTGGAAAATGGCCAAAATTGAGTTATCCCCTTCTTCCGCTTCCTGGATCAAGTAGTCTATCTGCAGAAATCTCTATTTTTCGCCGTTTTTTAGTTGTTTTTCGCCTATATAAACTGAACCAGTTGAGCTAGGATGGTGAAATTTCGCGTGTGCCGAGCCAAGGACATACCCAAGAAGTGTGCAAAATCTCACCGAGATCGGCCGAGCCGTTCAGGAGGAGTAGTGCGGACACACAGACACACAGACAGACCGACAGACAGACAGACAGACAAAACTTTTCAACCCCACTGGAGTAACAGGCTTCGCTATCGCTCAGCCAAAAAAATTCATCCGCACAAAAACTGAGATGTCACGTGCAATATTGTACCCAGCATTTGGTGTGCAGAATGTCAGAATAAGTTTTCAGCTCTCAGAGGTGCGTGACCTTTGATCAGATTTTCTGACAGGTTCCTGACATTCTGACAATATTTTTCAAGAGTGATTTTAAGCACATCCGACGGTCACACCATTTTTCCCCGCCTAGCGACACATTTTCTAACGCCTACTCCAAATTTTACTTTTTTTTAAGACAATTAGTCCGGCCTGACCAACACAAAAATTTGTACCACCGTCGGATGGGCGTAAAATAGCATCATTCATGGGACAAAAAAAAGTTTCATGACATTTAGTGTGTACCGTCATTAATTAGTTCGATACCGTCTTTTGCAGAGCCGGCAGCAGGGACACCACTGGGTCTCCCAATCAACGGCAATGCGCACTTGCGACTCGAGGTTGATATGTTGGCTGGCTACACCTTCACATCCGGATATGTTGTATCCGTGGCGCTCTGTGGAGGGAACACATGTTGCGGCCACTGTATAAGCGGACTCGCAGACAAAGTGCCGTCATCTAGCTACACATTCAAGACTGCAGGGAACAACCTTCCACGTTCCGGCACGAGTCAGCAGGTATAACGCACGTTGAGGCCCCATGTTATTGAGTAAGTTGCACGATTCTATGCATACGCGGAATTTGCATAATATTATCCGTAAAAATACATAAATTTATGCAGAGCACAATTTTATACAAAACGGTACAGAGGTTTAAAATCATGCATCGCCACTTACAAAATTGTACTTAAATATTTAGCGTGAGCAGTGTACTGTACTTCAATGACGAAACAGAAGAGAGGAAGTTACACATCGCTTTTCTTTTTACAGACGTTTTCAGGAGTGGGGGAGTGGTTGGCAAAGAACATCAGTTTGGAAGTGGAGAAGCATGGCCGTTTGCTGGGACTGTGGCCATCGGGTCGACCGGAGATGAAGCGCTGGATTGAATGCTTCTCTAATGAGACGCACCTTCTCGTCCAATCGACTCGCATGGGTTCGACGAACGCATGGCTCCCGTCAGGTGCGTTGAAACCTGGTTCAGGGAGCGGAAGTAGGGAATAATTCGACTTATCTCCAAATTGAGTTTTTATCTTGTGCCTCAGGATGGTTTGCATCAATACACCAAATAGTTTGACCCAGTTCTTAACAGTTTAGGAGAAAATCCACATTAAGATGGATATAACTCAACTTGACCCCTTTTACGGTCTCAATCGGTCTCAATTTTATCGGAAAATAAAGGTAACTCAACCGAAGTCCACATAACTCCATTCCACAAAATGGCAAAAGGAGATAACTCGACTTGCCTTTATGAACCCAATGTATAAAGAATCAACTTAACTCATCATCACTAGATGGAAAAAAGAGGCAACTCCAAAAATGTAGCCGGGACGTATTGGACCGGGTACGGGTCGATCGGAACGAGTTGTCCTATACCCCAGGCGCGTAGATCATTCTTTCATGTGCCTGTGTCGACCAGTAGTTACGTTCTACGCCCGACTAGTCAGTAAAGTGTCGACTAACGCGTTTCTCACTCTTAACAAAACCGTGGAGTCCAAACCGTCTGCGCAGGTGAGCCCGCCTTGCTCGGCCCAGTGCTGCAGCCAGGGGAACGGGGTGTGCTGCGGATGGCGCAAGTAGCAGGTCGAACAAACTTGTGGAGCTATTTGGTTGTGGGACTTTGCGGCCAGCAAACTTGTGCCACTGTCAGAATCGCGGCGCCCTACATCAACGCCACCGGGACGCCAATGGATTACGGCACTGTCTTCACTACCACGAATAACCCCGAGGACTCATGGAGAACCTTCATCGACGTAAGAACAGACAGAGCTAAGCACCTTCACCACGATGCACAGTGCGCCAGAAGACCGGTCAAGGCGGTCAAAATCCCGAACGCGTTTTGAGCTCCGGATTTGCTAAATGGGACTCGAACCGAACATGTGGCCCCACCAATGGATTGCTCTCCGAACGAGGAATCCATTGGTGGGGTCACACGCTCAGTTCGAGTCCCGAACTCGGGCTCAAAACAGGTCTAAAGGTTTGGCCGCCGGCGCGTTTGCTGGCCTTCTGTGCATCGGTGTATCGTGGGCATTTCAGTTGTTCTTGAGCGTGAACCATAACGTCTCACGCTTACGAATGTGAGCCACCTTTGTCCCAAGCTAGCAACTATGAGACATCAGCGTCTCACTCATGCACGCGTGAGACACCCGTGATTCACTCTTGTAAGCGTGAGACATTTTGGTTCAGGTCAAATAGTGCGAGACTGCTCTCCCTTAAAACCCTACGAAGAAAAGCTTTTCGTAACGCAAAGAAAGCGGAGGTTTCGCAGGAAATAACTTGCAATACAAACGATTTTGTATGTAAAAATGGAAATCGAAAATGTTTTTCCGAAGGAAAAACCATTTTCAGGCTGAGTTCTACAAGAAGTGTCACAAACAATTTCCTTCGTATACTGCAAAGCGTCCGTTTTCTTTGTAGCTACAAAGACCGTTCTTTGTAGGAATTTCTGCGCCCCACAATATGTATGCGGTGGTGCTGCACTCGGGTGGTCATCTGACATAACAATGTATGTTCATAGGGAATCCTATAGTAGATACGCTGTTATGTCCGATAGCTACAGACTTATCCTTCAACGTGTTATCGTTCCACTCACCTTGCAGAGCCCCTCGACATTCTCCACGACACTGTGGTCGGAGAGCGCCTACGACTTTGTGGTGGCGCTGCACCCTGACGGCTTCCTGCAGGTTTGGCAGGAGGCCGATCGAGACACGGTGGCCGAGGTGCCCGTGCCCGCCGAAGCGGGGGACGCGGCGCCCGTCCTCAAGGTCCTCAGCCCCACCGGCAACGTGGCGTATACACTGTTAAAAATAATCGTAAATTTACGACATTTTGTAAAACAATTATGTCGTTCTTAAACGACATATTTTGTTACGACTCAAGTCGTAAATATATGACTTGCGTCGTAAATTTACGATATATTTGTCGCTAATTTTGATAGCGAGACGTTCCGTTTTGAAACGAATTAAGTCGTAAATTTACAACTTAATCGTAAGTTTACGAGCGATCGTAATTTTTCTACGGAATATGTCGTGCAGTTATGACTTGAGTCGTACATTTACGAATATTTTCGTAAATTTGTGTAATGAATCGTAAACAAACGACACAAATCGTAAATAATCGAGCAAAATTGCAACTTTTCATCAACTTTTCGGGGATTTCAGATTTCAAAATATGTAATCGCGATTACGACATTGTCGTAGAGAAATGAATTTTTAGCCGTTCAGTTACGACGAAGTAGTTTCAGAACGATTTCTGTCGCTATCAAAATTAGCGACGTTTTTGTCGCTAATTTACGACAAAATTTCTGACAGTGTACTTCTCAAGGTGAGTATGAGGTTTGGGGTTAGTTTTGCGGTTTCTTGCCGACTAGGCCGCAAAGATGGCGCCACCGGGCGAAGTGCGCTATGAAAAATGCAACGCAACGTTCACGCAAGCGACGGTAGCTCCACTGGGTCATGGTGGCTTGAACGCTACATTCCATTTCTCAGCGACTTCGCCCGTTGGCGCCATCAAGCGTCCGAGTCGGCAAGAAGACTCCAGCCTCAAACCTCATTGGTTGAGCTTAAGTGAAGACTCAGCATGAAAAATTCTTGAAAAAAAAAAATGAAAAATCAAAACCCAATTTTGGGCGAGGTATAAAGTTTATCACCCAAATTTGCGTGGGGATTATATTCTGACCCAAATTTGGGTGATAAAGGATGTATCAGCTTCCTATATGGCCAGATGATTCTCACCCCAATTCGGTCGATAAAGAATATCTGATCCTGTGCTGTTCTTTGGTCTTACACTGTTAAAATTTGTTGTCACTTTGTGACCAGTTCCTTAATGACATTTTTATCACCTTAAAGCGAGGGGTTGCCCACTTTAGTGTCCGCGATGCCGGATTTCCACGATTCCTGCGCTGATCGCACGGAAAAAGTCAGGATTTTCGAACGTTTGCGTTTCTTTCAGGGATTATCACGAGTTTTGTGTTTCTTTTAGGGATTATCGGGAGTTTTGTGTATTTATTTTGAGTACGATCAAATACGATGTGTTGCCTTTGGAACTGAGTAATTTTCCCGGATAAATTTCCAAAGAAATAGTACACACACGATTTCCGGAGTGGGTAACATATCGCTTCAAATCTTCGATGACGAATTGACATTTTCGTCAAAGCTCCTTATTGCATGTGCGTAGTGACAACAATGTCATCCTTTCACACTAAATTACCTTTTTTTAAATTTTTTAAAAATCTTTTCCCTGCTTTGCACGGAATTGAGCATAAGCGCGTAATGCAAGCATTCTTGCGCGCCAACGCACAGGGTGCGACATACGATGCACATTTTCATGATAAGTTGCCCACGAATTCGAAGATTTCACTGGTGAATGTGAAGCGTAGTATTAACCTGTTTTCAAGCTCAATTGGTTTACGTTTGAAATCAAGCGTATCGCAGGCTCCGCTCATCGGCCAATATTCCCCCTATCTAAATGCATGGGGGAATTTCCCGAGTATGCTTCATTTCAAGCGTAACGTCTTCAAGCGTAACTTTATGCTTGACTCAGACACAGAGTTACGCTTTAGTTCTAGTGTTCAAAACGTGTGCTCACTTCCGTTCATAGCTGTGCACATCCTTGAAATAGTCTTTCGTCCTTAAATGCACGAATTTATGGTCAGCTTAACATGAAAGTGTGCATCGTACACTCTACCAAAAATGTCCTGTAAATGCCGTTAATTTATTACCAGTTTTCACTGTAGGTCAATTCACAGCGTTTACTGTGATCTGCTCACGGGATTCACTGTGATCTTGTTCGCGGTGTTCACTGTGATCTGGTCCTCAGTAAACACTGTGAGTTTGACGCCGCTGAGCACCGAAGTACTGCAAATCCGGCTCCAATTCACGGCGTTTACTGTGGCCAGATCACAGTGAACACTGTAACCGAGATCACAGTGAATGCCGTGAACTAGTTCACAGCAAACGCCGTGAATCGCATAACAGCAAACATTGGTAATAAATTAACGGCGTTGACAGGACATTTTTTGTAGAGTGTATGCCGCGCCCTGAGCGTTGTCTTAAAGTGAACAAAATTTTTACACTGTATTACGGCGTGTCGGATTGCGTACACAGCGAATGAGTGGGTCACCACCATCACCCTTTAAATGGGTGATGCAACTTCGTTGCCCAATTTTGGGTGACAGGCGTTTGGTCGCCCAAATTTGGGTAACGTCGACGACGCCGTGAGGTCCCCGATAGACGTCCTTCCGGGGCCACCACGATGACCGGACGTCATCGGGGACCTCACGGCGTCGTCAACGGCGTTCCCAAATTTGGGCGACGATTTTATGACTGCCCAAAATTTGGTCACCGCTAGCTCGTCACCCAAATTTGGGCGACGATGCGTGCGTCACCCAATAAAAGGGCGATGGTGGTGACTCTTTCATTCTCAGTGTATCTGACGTCCTAACATGAGCTCCTGTGTTTTTCTACGTTGCAGGAGTGAACCTTCGTCATACCTTGCCACCACCTCAGCAGTCTCTGAAGAGCCATCTGACCGAGGCCCGAGCCGCAGGGTTGAGGTCGCGGAGAGCCGCGTAGAGGAGTTAATACGAGTTAATATCGGATAGGGTAAGGTTACCCAACATGGATCACTTTTTATTATTGCCCTGTATTTCGGCTCAAACAAGCGGTGACCTAAATTTCCTTCGATACACTCCAAGATGACCACAAAGACAACCTCATCACAGGAACTGAACATTTCATAACAAATACTTCGAAATGTACGGGGCTTTGAAATTTCACTGGTTTTGGTGATCCATATTTGGGTCTGACCCTCCCTCGCGCTTTGCCAGGGGCGTTCCGATAACTTCCGGTCGTCTAAATTTTGAAAGGGTTCACTCTGAAGGTGCCACGAAAAAATTTTGAGACATTTCTGATGAATGGATCGTCTGTAATAACGATTTGAATTTTGACTCCTAACCTCAGCCCTTTTTCACAGGCACATTTTTATTTGCATATCGTAAGGTTAACTGTAAGATTGATCAGCTCCCCCGTGCGTGATTCCTGTAGTCTAAATTGTTGACCAAATGAAAAACTTTGAAAAAATTAAATTTGTCGATTGGTTTGGCGTTACGAGCTCGCCTACAAAACTGATCCATGATTGGTACCCCGATCCATGTTCGGCACTTTGCCCTACGATTTTCTTTTTCGTTACTACTGATGCATTTGACTGATGTCTACATGCATGCCTGAAAATGTTAAATGGTGTTTCATTTTAGTGTTTCTTGGGAAACGTTCATTGTTTCTCTTGATAGATGATTAAAATTGAAAATATTTTGTTTGTAAGCTGCAAGAGTATGTCAGATTATGATTAAAAAGTCATTTATCAATACTTATAAATTTGTTTTAAACCCTGTTGATGAACCCAAACGTCAATGCGTTACCGACGAAATTGGTACGAGTCTGATCATGTCAACACTGAGTTTGAAATAAAGAATTTTTAAATACGTAGTGTTGAAAGGTAATTTTCTTAAGTCTTTATTATCTCTGAAACCGATAGCATAAAAAAGGAATTGATTGGAAATTTTCACAATGTCTATCAAATTAAAAATCAGATCACCAAAATTACGTGCCCTTTAGCCATATAAATGGGCTGCAATCTCAAGACGCTTACATGTTATGACCAATCAATAGCAGGCGGAATATAGGAACCTGGGACAGTGCAACGGAAGACATTTTGGTTTTCCTTCCTGGCCAGGCAGTCTATGCGGGCCTCGCTGCTGACGGTGACGCCCGGGAACGCTGCCCGAAGTCGCTGCAGTTGTTTCACCTGAAGCACAGAAAGGGGCAACACCGTCATCTGAGAACACTGGGAAGACAAGAGCATTGACACGATCTAGGGCAATCAAGGGAATTGAAGGAGGACAGGAGCATGCGCGGCAACAAGGTTACAAGTATGTCTCTCTCCTTGTTTGTGCCATAATTGAGGGACGCCCGAGGGGTGAATCACTCAGCGTACTGGCTCTGCAAACTCAAGTGTGTGCCAGGCATGCACTTCTTGGTGCATGCCTGCAGGCACACACTTCCTGGTGCATGCCTGGCAGGCACACACTTCTTTTCTGCATGCCTGGCAGGCACACACTTCCTGGTGCATGCCTCAGGCACACACTTGCTTGTATGCATGCATAAGCGACGGCAAGTGTGTGCCTGCCAGGCATGCAGAAAAGAAGTGTGTGCCTGCCAGGCATGCACCAGGAAGTGTGTGCCTGCAGGCATGCACCAAGAAGTGCATGCCTGGCACACACTTGAGTTTGCAGAGGGTGTACACACATGAATACACGAGTACGGGCGAGTACACCTCCGACAACTCATAAACTTCACATTTTAAAACGTTTGAAGGCTTTATGTAGTGTTTCCGACAAAACTCAACACCAAATCCTACATGAAACCAGCAAATTTTGCTATTAATGAGCTTGTGAGTACACTGAGAACGGGTCTATTTGTGCACATGAGTACACCACCTCAGTGATTCGCCCCTCGGGGAAGCCTTGACAGACTGTCACACGGAAACCGACTAAACTGAGTCGGGGGTCTGCCCGCAAACGACTTAATGAGACCGCAAATTCAGAACTCCGTAAACCGTCCCTTTGCCCGATTCGCAGTTTAAAAGGCCCCCAACTCACTTATTTATTAACTTGTAAGTTTGGTCTCAGCTGTTTTTTGAAAAGGAAGTATTGGTCTTTTTACTGTCTAAGACGATTTTTATGTTGTGGCACCCCTTCTACCAGCAATTGTGCCCTAATTTTTGTTCCTCGCTTATTGACCTTTTTTGCCCTCCGGTTTCGTCAACTAAACAGCAGAAGCAGAGCCAAAAGCAAAAATTTCGATACTTTTCTTCAACCAGAATTTGTAGCCTGGCCGCAGAATTTGCCGTGTCGCTTGTTACTCCAACATCACTTTTGGTGTTTGCCCCATAGCATTTGTAGAGAAATAAGGGAAAAGGGAATAATTATTCTTAGCTCCGTAAATCGCTCAGACCCCTACACTGTTTATGATGAAACTTCTATTTCCCATGGAATTGTTCAGTAAGTTATGTCTATATCAGACAAAATTAAAAAAGTAATGTTCAAGTGACCGATACGTATGGTGAAAGTCGCGATTCTAAACTACGCAACACTTGATCAATTTTCTGCAAATTCCCATATTTAACACATGGTAATTTTCCATTTTCTGAAAGTCAAAATAAAGCGTTGTTGCAGGCTTAAGGATTTCTTTTCAAGGTCGAATAAAACAAAAACTGCCAGAAAAAAGTAGTTCGGGCCAACTTTATTTTTACGGAGTTTGGGGCCCGAAAATGTACGTTTCGATGCTAACCACCCAATAGCGAATTTTGCTGTCCAACGAGTCGATCTATTTTATCAAATGGGCTGGTATAGTGGCCTTCTGTATCCCACTGGGTGCAACCGGACTCTTTGTACATTAGGTGGACAAATTTTGCAGCCAGTAGCAAAAATTACCAACCGTTTTTACAGTGATCATTTGGACAACTGGTGCATTTCAGGCGTTATTTCTCAGGAAACTTGGAAAAGAAATCAAAATTTCGAATTTCCTTGGTCGATGTGCACGCGATCAAGCCTCCACTTAAAAAACTGAAACAAATCGTGTTGAGATTGTGTTGCCTCGAAGCAACTTCGCCGATCTTCTACCTTGAGTTCCCCGCGGTTCAATGCAACGTATCCCAAGCTTGCAACGTGGCACACACTTGTGAGCGTCAGACACGCGTGGTACAAGCCTTACTCTGACCAGAAAACGAGGTCTTCGTTTTCTAGTCACAGTATGCTGTGAAAATTTGAGTCGTCACTTGATGAAAATTTCAAGGTTTATTTTCCTTACAACAGTGCCATCAAAACAATTAATAACATTGTTGTCAAGCCCATGCAATAAGTATAGGAGCTTAGATGAAGATGTCATCATTTGGGAGTGGTAACCTATCAAGCATGATTTCGACATCGGGTGACAATAAATTTTCCCTTGTATGATAGTGCGAGACCGTCCCTCACTTGGATTCGCAAAGAAAAAGCGTGACTTACCGTGTCGGGTACCTGGACTATGAACTGAACGTGGAGCTTGCGAAGGTTAGGCAGACTGGGTGCCTGACGCACCAGGACGTCGAGCACTTCGGACAAATCGACCAAAATAAGTGACAAGTCCAACTCCTCCAGAGAAGGCGGCAGGGGCTCGAGGCAGAGACGGTGGTCCACCTTGTCGTCGTTGTGGATCATCAATTTGATGGACAAATGTGTCAGCGCCGGGAGAGAAGCGGGACCTATTCGCAGGAACTCCGAGCAGAGAACGCCGAGGTGAGTCAATCCACGGCACGAGGAGACCGCCTCCATAACCTGCAAAGGACAGAAAAAACACAATCCTACAAGAAATCCTACCAATTTTTCATCTGGAAAAGATTGAACGTTGTAGGTACAATGGAACCGTGAAGAGTCAGTCCAGGCCTCCTCGTACTTTGAACACGGCAAAAATGTTCCTAGTTTTTCCAGGTAGCCTGTAGTGAAGACATTGCGATTTCCAGGAAGTTCCTGGGAAAACCAGGAAGATTTTTTAGTACAAGTCACGCTGTACTTTCTACAATCCTCGTTACTCTTTTTCACTATTTTCTTCATACCTTTGTTGTACTGTTCACACTTTTTCTTGCAGTGGAAAGTGCCGAGGGGGAAATCACTCGCGTAATAGTCGGGTCACCTATTCCTTGCGTAATATACTATAGTAATAGGGTAATAGCCAAAATTTCCTGAGTTTTCCGTTCTAAGGGTCTGATTTTCGCTTAAATCTCGATATTCGGAAACGTAACAAGACTTCTGTAATAACGTAATAAAGCGTAATAGAACGTAATAGGGGGTAGTCGGGTCACAATTTTGAGAGAGATTGCCCCCTCGGGAAAGTGCTGTAACTTCAGGCCAGATCTAGGTTCTACACTTAAATTTGAAATCTTACAAAATATTCATTGATATAGATATAAAATTGATACTGAAAAATAGTATTAGTTTTTCTTACTAAGGCATGTAAGGCATGTCTTAGTAAAAAAAACCCACAGGTTTGAGTTTGTTCTACTGGCACAGAGAAAAATTTTAAGTACCAAAAATTATGAATGTGTATAACACATTCGTATCAAAAATTTGTAACAATAGATAAATATTTTGAAAGATGTTAAAATCTAACCTTAATGTAAGGCATAAGCCAAATTAACTTAACCACAAAGGTCAACCCACTTGCAAGTAGCAAAATCACTCCCGAAATATGTAATACGCAAATAACGATGAAAAACTGCGAAATAACTCCGAAATAGTCACGAAATTTGCTACGAAACATTGTCGCAATACCCGAAAATAATCCGAAATAGCTAGCGGTGGAGTAACCGAAATAGCGCGACATACGCCACATTCAAGAGTGAATTTCAACTTGGTTGCAACTTTCTTTGTAAAACTAATTTTTTTAGAAGTTAAGGTAGTAAAAATTGACATCCTCTGCATGTCCATGAAACGTTGTCTCCCAAGACTTTCGTCGTAAAATAGCAACGCTTTTCGTGACAATTCAAGTTGTAAGTTTACACGTCGACCCCTCCCAAGAAAACCAACCTAACTCGCCTGGGCGCTAGGAAACAATCCTAATTCGCTGGGGTGCTAAAAGACCATCAGAACTCGCACGAAAGTCGGGAGACTACACTGAAAAACTTAACGTGGTCTAGACCGCACCAAATGCGGTGTGGTCAAATGGATGCCATTTTGACCACACCGGTTGGTGTGGTCTAGACAGGGGGCAACAACGGCCTAGGAAGCGCGTGAAGCCATGCGCGAGGGAGGTGCGGGGGTTACCTATTTTGCTTCGATTGGAAGATCTAGCCCGTTGATTGCAAAACGCTTTGCGCAGACCAAAAGAGGACAAAATTTAAGGTGCATTAGGCGTAGTAGACTGCCCGATACTTCCAATTCAACCGAACACAAGGGCGGGATCATTACATCAAAATGGCGCATTCGAGTTTTTCCTGAATTTTATGATTTCTCATGTTTTTCGGTGTTTTCACTGCACCTTAACAAAGAGTCAGGGGGGAGTTTCGAAAAGAGCAATTAGCCTAATACACTCTAAATTTCAAGCCCTTTCCATCGGTGCAAAGCGTTTCGAAACACACTGTCTAGTTTTCATGATCTCGAACAAGTGCGCAACCTCTGCACTGCGGCGCGAGCATCGCTTCACGCTCTCCCTAGGCCGTTGCCACCCCCTGGGTCTAGATCACACAAAACGCACCAAACGTGGTCAAGACCACACCAACTGGTGTGGTCAAAATGGTACCCATCTGACCACACCAGTGATGGGGTCTGGACCACGTTTCAGTGTATCTTAACTTGATTGAGGATAACTTTGACAGGGAGCGGAAGGAAGTTTAGACCATTACCACACGGTTTCCTAGCACCCTGGCGAGTTAGGACGGTGTTCTAGCGACCAGGCTAGCGAGGATAGTTTTCTTACGAGGGGTGGAAGTTCAGGGAACAACAAATGTCCGTTAGGATGTCCATACCTGCATGGTGTGGGTCACCCAGGACCACATGTTACCGATGGTCAAATAACGGAGTGTTGAAGAGTGGGCCTTGATGAAAGCCACCAGTGGAGCAGGCGTCGGTGCAGGTAACGGGTGCTTGATCCAGGACACACTGTGAACATAGCTGACGACATACATGCTGCCACTCCTTGCGTAGACCGTTATGTCCTACACACTGACAGTATTGGTACCATTCTGAACGAGCTCTCGCACAATTTTAAACCTGCGACTTTTCTCGTGCGAAGTTTTCTGCAGAATCGCACAAATTCAGGCGGTCGCCAGCAAATTTAAATGGAGAGCACATAAGCACAAAATTGTGCGAGAACACGTACAAAAATTGTACGACACAGTTCGACATGCATTACGGGCTTTTTCGAGTATCTTACGCCTTTATACTAACGCAAAGTAAAGGTCGGAGCCCAGGGGACACTCGGCCACAGAGTCCGCGGCGAAGTTCCGCAGCCGCGGCACTCTGAGGACGGACAGCAGTTCCAAGAGCTGGCGGGAGGCTTCTCGAAAGTGCAGCTCTTCCAAGTGCAGCCCCAACTTGCTCACGATCTTCTCAGCGTCCTTCGGCGCGGCGATGAAGGTCGTGAAGTTGAGACAGGTGACCTGCCGAACCAAACAGAGTGAGCCAGAAGACCGGTGGAGAAGGCTGTCAAAATCACGGACCCGTAGCTTCTTTCACGCTAAATGCACTGTAAAAAATATCGTGAATTTACGAAATATTAGTTCACGATATGTTTCATAAAAAAATTGTTATTGTTTTTTCAATTTACAAAGTGTATCGCAATCCTACAAGATCATTACAAAATGTATCGTAACCCTACATAATCACTTCGTAAAGAGAGAGAAATCTTCCTAAATTGGCGAATTTACAGACAAAATCACTACGAAATGTTTTGTTTAGTGAGGCTTTACGAAATGTCCAAAAACAACGAAAAAAGTTTGGGTAATTTTCTTTTGCGAAGTTGTCGTTTATATATGAAAACATTTCGTGAACTTTTTGAACTGAGACATTTGTTGTTACGGAGAAAAAAAATATTTTTTGGTAGATTTTTCACAGCACGTTTGTTGAATCTGAAAATCTTGATAATGGGCCGAAAACATTTCGAAAATATACGACATGTGCCGTATATAAACGACATTTTTGTAAAACTACGATCAGTTCGTAAAAGAAAATTACCCAAACTTTTTTCGTTTATTCACGAGAAAACTTTTTACAGTGTGGGACTTGAGCCGAAAGTGTGACTCACTCGGTGAAAAAATTTTGTGGGAACCGTCGTGTTACTCTTGAGCCACGCACTCGAAGTTTCGTTAGCCATGAAATCTAAAATTCATTTCGCTGTGGCCTACCAATTTTCCCTCGACCGTGGCTAAGAGAAGGCACCTTGCCCATTTAAATGCGTTCAGCAAATGGGATTTGTCTGCTATGGGTTTTTATGCCAAAAGTTTGGGTTAGGAAATTTCCTCAGCCAATGGCATAAGAAAATTCCAGTTATTTTTTACAGTGCACTTTAGGACAAAATCGTGGATAACATTTTCATCAGAGTTCTTATACTTATTGCATGGGAGTGACAACTCTGCCATGGAGTGTTTCTATGACATTCTTGTAAGGAAATGTAGCTTTGCGATTGTCATCAAGTGACACGCAAAATTTTCAAAGTGTGGAAGAAAAACCCACCTTAGCTGTAGTCTCCATGAGTGCCTTCATGATCGGCGCGCTGACGCGCCAGCCTCGGACCACGATCGCCCTCAGGCAAGGTGCTGCCCGCAATACCCTGCAAGAGGTGCGGTCCACTGCGCGCCCTGGCAGACACGCAGGTTTCTCCGCAGTTTCGTTGCCAGCGAGTCCTTTCCCGGTTACGTTGCTCTCGTCACTTGGACCATTTGCCTTTGCCTCGGAACTCTTTCCTCCGTTAGCCAAGTCTCGACTGATGTTCTCTTGCACTCCGGGATCTTGTTTGCCGGCTTCAGCGTCCTTCGCGTCGTCACTACACTGTGATTTACTATAGCCGGTGACGCTGCCAACGTGTTCATCTTCAGAAATGCCGCTAGTGCCATGCTTGTCGTCACCGCCACTCGCGTTCCTGTCAGTACCATCGCAATCTTCATGGCTTCCCTCAACATCGTCGCATCCTTGATGGCCATCTTCCAAATTGACAGCTTCGCTTTCATCATCAATACTATTGCCTTCACTGTCGCCCCCACAATTGTCAGCTTTACTTTGTTCATCTTTGCCTTTACTTTGATCATCCCCACTATTGTCAGCTTCACTTTCCTCATCCCCACTATTAACAGCTTCACTTTTATCATTCCCACTATTGTCAGCTTCACTTTCCTCATCCCCACTATTAGCTTCACTTTTATCATTCTCTCTATTGGCAGCTTCACTTTCCTCATCCCCACTATTAACAACTTCACTTTTATCATTCCCACTAATGGCAGCTTTACTTTTATCATCCCCACTTTTGTCATCTGCGCAATCATCCTCACTACTGTCAGCATCACTTTCCTCCATACTTTCACTTGGGTCATTGTCACTACCGCCTGAACTGTCCTCATCCTCGACATCCTCCCACTCGCTGCTCTCTTCGCTATCGTCGTCATGGGCGAAGCTGGGCTTGATGTGCTTCGGATCCTCACCCACTTCCAAGACGACGCCGACCCACATCATTGGATTCCTGAAGAACTGCCTCCAGCTGCGACTGACTTGGCCGGCTGTGACTCGGTCGTCGAGGGGCAGCATCTTGAAAATCAAACGCCACACTTCCATAGGTAGAAGCGACAGAGGGTCCATTTTCACCGAGATCTTCACCCTGTAGTGTGGACAGAAAAGGCTCGTGTACACACTAAATTCCTTAGAAAAATTACAATGAGATTCCAAACGCTAAACATAGCACGCATGGTGCAAAGCATTGAGGTAACACCCGTACGTGCAACACGCACTGTCCGAAACAAAAAAACACAATAAATCTTTTAACGATAAGTACAGCTAACCCTGTAGTTCAGAGTACGGGATATCCTGTAATTTTATACAGGATACACTGTACTTTGGGCGGGATTTACTGTGCCAAGTGGAGTACGGAATATCCTGTACAAACTACAGTAAATCCAGTAGCCGGGCACGGTAAATCCTACGTTCCGGTCCTGGCCAAAAAATTAACGAGATTCACTGTGATTTTTTTGCACAGTGCGCCCCTATCCTAATGCATGGGGTGGGGATGGTAAAACACTGCACCTTGACGATATACTCATAGCGTTTGGATTCTCAGTGCATTCGACGTGGAATTTTGAGGGTACGTGCTGTACGTACAAATTTATACGCAATTTCGCACGGATTTGAGTGACTCTGCGTGCAGTATTGCATGAAAAATTCACATGTTTAAGCTTTTGCGAGACCACGTTCAAAATTGTACAAATACATTCAGCGTGAACTAGGTCATGGAGTGCACACTCTGAAAACCTTACAAATTATTTTAGGCCTTGCAAAGAAAAGAAGCTTGACATTACAAAGTATTTAAAGCACAAATAAGCTTAATTCGTAATATACGAACTACCTCCATGAACACTCTCATTCCAGGAACGTGACATCACTGACAAAATGTCACGTTCGTTTGTGCATTGTGTCACATTCGTTTGAATGTGAACAAGCTAGTTTTTGGCCAATTCACACCCAGACGAATCTGACACAATGCTCAAACGAACGTGACATTTTGTCACGTCCGTTTCAGCGTGATGTCACGTTCCTGGAATGAGAGTGTATTGTTTGTACCTTGCATGTACTCAGAATACTTCGTAAGGTCATGCGCGTGCAAATTTCAAAGGCTGCACTGAAAAAAAAAGTCTAGTAACGATAACCAGAATCCTGGTACCAAATACCAGACTGTCTGATAGAATATAACTCAACTAGAATTCTGGTAAAAAATACTAAACTGTCTAGTTGGCCTCAGTCTAGTAAACCGTACCAGATTTATAGTTATCCTCACAATGCCGCCAGGTCCTCTTCTGGTAGTTTTTACCAAACATCCTGGTTAGTTAATGTGCTTACAAAACTGAAGTAAGAAGTCCAAAATTTAATAAAATATTTTTTCGTAGTGATGAAACCTGATGTGACGTCGATTTCGTTAACGAACAACCTCTGAATTGTTTTTTTCCCTCCTCCTCTCCTCCGGATTCGAACCGGGATCTGACACTTGTGAGACGGGCACGTTACCACTGCGCCACCACGTCGCCTGTGGGTCGAGGGGATCCCCACCAGGTGACTCTCTACGTGTCTGGCTCAGGGAAATACTCCTAGTGTTTCTTTCGGATTTAAGACTCCGAAAATAACGAAACCGGTTGCAGTTTACTTTTTGACACCCGAACATTTCAATTGAAACGAATATTTCGAAGTTTTACGTATGGTGCCAATTACGGAACAGTCTGGTAAAATTTACCAGGATTATTAACCAGACACCTGGTAAATGTCACAACACCCGATCTGGTTACTGCAACTGATCATCTGGTGAGAGTTACTAGGATTCTCGTATGAGTAACTAGTACTCGTTTAACTAGGATTGGTCTGGTACTTTTAACCAGACTTTTTCCTCAGTGATGGACTTTCATAAAGAGATCCCAGTGAGAGTCAGAACCATGATTTGAGAAGTGACACCTAAAAACATCGGAAAGTCCTCACTGGTAAAACAAAGGATGCACTGTTAGGGATTTTGATGTAAAGTAACGAGTATTTCCCTGTTAATTCTATAGTACAAATTGTTCGTAAGTTAATGAGTACAGTCGTTATAATTCAAATCTTCAACCATATCATTTTCAGGTTGGTCTTGGTTTGCCTCGACAAAAAAAAAACGTGAAAATAGAACTAATAATGTACCTTGAAAATTTTGCGACTTTCTTTGTATATTTACGATTTTTCCTTGTTAAATTACGATTTTTCTTTGTAATTCAACAAACATTTGTAATTTTACGAACAATTCGTCCTATAGAATTAACAGGGAATTACTCATTAATTTACAATTAAACTTGTAAAATGCTTGTAATATGACAACTTTCGTTCGTGAAATGACGACATTCTTCGTAAAATTACAGCTATAGTTCGTAATTTTACAAGGTTAACCGTAAAAATCCGTGTAACATTGTGAAATTTCTGTTTGTATTTAGCCAATGACGAATACGTTCGTAAAATTACGAGTTTATTTTGTAAAATTACGATGGATTCATGTAAAATAAAGTTGTAAAAATACGACTTCCCCTTACAGTGTGGGGCGTAAAACGTTTACGCCCTGTGAGGGTATAAATTCGTTGCCTTTGTTTCACCTCTGCTGTCAAAATTAGAGCACACTTCGTCGTTAGTTTGAACAATTTCTGGCCTCACACAATTGAAAGCAAACCTGCTTGTCGTGCAAGCACTTTCACTTGAATTTGTGAGATTCTGCGCACAATAATGAACGAATGAGCTCGCATGTTCAAAATTGTGAAACCACGTTCACAGATGAACAAATACATTTAGTGTGTGCTGTTACGACACCCAATGAATAAGCAGCTTGCCCGATTTTTTTTTTCGGTCCATATGACGGCTTCTTGCTTTTGTTCAATGCCTAGACCCGCTCCTTATTGTCTACAGCATAATGTGACAAGGACATCAACCAACAGGGTATTCAGAGAAGGTCAGGACCGGAAGCCACAACCCGCAGTCGTGGCCGGAAACTTCTTACAGAAACGGATTCGTCTCGACAAGACGAAAGAAAATGTCTTCACATCATATAGGTAAGGATGGATTTCCCACCCTAAACACGTTATTGAGCTTCATAATTACTAAGAAGGCCATTTTTGGCCATTTTACAAATTTTGAAGATAACTACACTGTTAAAAAAAAATTCTGAAAATTCAGACTAAATGAACTGAAGAAAATTTCGCAAAAGGCACTCCTAATTTTCAGACCAACTTTTTCAGAAACATGCGGTCTGAAAATTCAGACCTGTGAATTCAGACCACAAGTCTGAATATGGATTAAGACCTCTAGTCTGAATTGGTATTAAGACCGCTGGACTTTGAAATTTAGGAATTTGTTGAGCTTAAAATTGAGATGTCTTATTTCTTAAAAAAGGGCTTCCTGGTCTGAATTTGCTTTCAGCAGTTCACTCCCATACCCCTCGCCTCCCTCTTTGTGCGCAGTGCGGGCAAGGTAATATATGAAAGTTGATCCAACCAATGCTTTAAGAAGGATGAAAATTGCTGAGGCTAGTAAAAGTCAATTTTGTAACCTTAAGGATACTGTCAAGTGAAACTTGCATGTCCTAGAAATATTTGTCACAGGAAGTTCATTTTGAGGTCAAAATTCCACCACTATTAGATAAATTTATTCTCAAAGTTGGGGACTCCAACTCTAATTAGTTTCTGAGTTATGGAGGTTTACGTAAACTTTTAGTCGTTTCCTCCAAATTCTTCTCACGACAAAGGATTAGCTACCCAGCCTTCAGATTCTTGCAATTATATCTATTTTTGCATATGAAAAAGAAAGCGTTGTCAAATTTGAAAATACAAGTCCAGGAGAGGCTGTATTAGCTTTTAAAAAGCTAACTTATCAGGCCCACTTTTATTTTTCTTCAAATTTAAAAGATTTTGCCTTATTATTGGTTTATGGTGTTTCAGAAAAACTAAGGGAGATATTTTTTTAAAAAAGCTATCTATTTCCTTTGCAAAAATAGATATAATTACAGTAATATGAAGACTGGGTCGCTAATCCTTTGTCGTGAGGAAAATTTGAGAGAAACGACTAAAAGTTAACGTAAACATCCATAACTCAGAAACTAAAATAAGGTGGTGTACAACTCTTAGTGCATGAGTTAATGCAATGGAAAGGAACTTTTATCCAGGTTATGAGACAAGTATTTTTTTTTTAAAAAAGTTATAAAGTCACTTTGGTCACTTTAGTCATCATAACCATAAATTTCTTTGCTTATCATTGCAAAATCAACTCAAACCTTGGTTGTAACAATTAACTCACTGTGGCAAGCACACGATCCAACACGCACCGGTGCACACGAAGTGAACGTATCAGATTCGTCCAACCAGAAGTTTGAACTAATATCCGATGAAGGCACTTTGGGGACGAGTGTGAACAGGGAGAGGCGAATAACTTAGAACACCTCTCGCCCTCTCACCGCCCGCCCCTTCAGTTTCGGGAGATGCGTACAGCGAGCGCAGAGTCACTACAGCGTCAAGAAGGGTCATCAGCAGAAAACACTTCGAACTAAAATGCACTTCTTTCCGTCGACATGACTTCAGCGCGCCGAGCGAGTGGACCTGACGCAAAATACACGCGATGTGTGCACCTTGGAAGACTGCTGGAGACTGATGTTTTGCGTGCAGGGCGCCGGGTCGGCCAAAACATTCCGAGTTGCCGACGGATTAGCGCTCCCCTCCTGCCGAGCCAATCAGAGGGCGCCTCCAGCCGGCCCTGCCTCGCCGGACTTTCCGAGAATGCACCGGCGGGGACAGTCCTGCGGCCGCTGCACTGGGCTCGGCTCGGTGCTCGGCCCTGCTCGGTGCCGAACGGACTCAGCCGAACAAGTCCGAGACAAACTAGATCGCTTTCGGGCCTACTAGCTTAGCTGGTCAAGGTGCTCCCAGAGCGCCATAAAGAGGGCTACTCTGGGGCTCAAGGTGCTACCTTCGGGGCAGTCCGATTAAGGCAGCGTGTGTAGAGAGAGAGGGCGGGAGTCAGACGAGTCGGGCAGAAAATTTAGACCGGGCGCTGAATTCTACTTTCAGACTCGCAGGGCAAATTATTAAACCTTGTTAAGTCTGAATTTTCAGACCGCCGCGTCTGAAATTTTTTTCAGACTACAAGGTCCGTATTTTTAGACCTGGGGTCCAAATATTAGGACTCTAGTCTGAAAACGAAATTCAGACGGACAAGTCTGACACTTTCGGTCTGAATTTTCAGAATTTTTTTAACAGTGTAGCCATTTCATTTCCCATCCAAACCTACGACATGCGTTGACATATTTGGCTTGTCTTGACGGGACGAATCCATTTCTACTAGGAGGCATCAATTTGCGCAACTTGGTAGATTCACTCAAACTCCTTGGGACAACGACCAAGACATCCACTTGACTTTCAAGGCGGCACTTTCACCGTGTTGAAAGCACGCGTTTTGAGGAGCGCACTCCGCACACACACAGATTTTGTGTAAGCCACAGCGAAGTTAATCCCACACTACCGTAACGGCCGCGGTTACGCCAGTACGTTCGCGTCTGAAAATCGACGCTCAGCCAGCGCTCAGCACACGAATCACAGTAAAAGCTCTCCGAAGAATCGATTCGTAATACGAAGAAAATGAAGGCATTGTTTCTACGAAGAAACGCTTCGTATTATGAAGAAGAGTCTTTCGTAATACGAAGCATTTCTTCATAATGCGAAGCAATTGTACCATGCCTTCATTTTCTCCGCAGTCACTGCAAATGCAAAGGCGATACCGTACTTAAGTACATTTTTTGATGATACAATTGGGTATCGCTAATAAACGGCCTTACGGAAAAGTATTGCCTTCAGAACGGCGATACACAGAAGTGTCGCCAAAATTTGGCGATACTTTCGGGTATCGCCAAAACCACGGCATTGAACTAAGAACTCGTCCCCTTGATTTGTTCAACGTTTATTGCCAAATCGTGGCAGTACTCCAAAGTATCGCCACATCTTGGCGATACTTTTGTGTAACGCCGTTCTGAAGGCAATACTTTCCCGTAAAGCCGTTTTTTAGCGATACTCAATTGTATCGCTTAAAAAGGTACTAAAAGTATTGCCTTTGTATTTACAGTGGTTATGAAGCAAATGCTTCGCAGGCTTTTATTTAAGAGTGATTCCGACTTACTTGTGCGGGAGACCTTCCGTGGAGGTGTCACGCACTCACGAGCTCTTGGCCGACTGGCAGGGCTCGGCTGTTCCGTTGGAGACGTCGGTCTGGCGGGCTGTGGCTGTGGCAGGGGGAGGGGGAGGGGTCGCACGCAGCCGCCGCCGCAGAGCGGAGTCCTGGAACTGATAGCCCCGTGCGCCGTGCACTCGACACCGGCCAAGGGATGCGTCGCGTCAGCAGTGGCAAGCGGAGAGCAGGCCTAAACACAGCGCGCGTCTGAGCCAGAAGCGGACACACACACACACACACACACACACACATATACATACATACCTGGCGTAACACGCCGATTTTTGCAATGGCTTTTCTGTCATGCCATTTTTTATGGCGTGACACTTGTTTTCGGACAAAGGTGTGTAAGTCCACGTCTGAAAACTTGTGAGTATGTATTGAGGACCTCCCTGCATACACTGTTAAAAAATTCGGATTAAAATTTCATAACACGTTAATGTAATTATTATCCTTTTTTCTGTTCTGAAATTTCATGGCGATTTTCTGCAATGACAAAAATTTCGATGGCGATTTTCTGCAATGAAATAAATTTCATTGCAGAAAATCGCCAAGAAATGTCATAGCAATGTGCTGTGAAACTTCATTAAATTGTTAATGAAAATTCGTATGCAAGTTTTGACATTTCGTTTCCGATTTGTGGTATTGTATTTCATAAACGGGTTATGGAATCTCGACCGGTATCTTGACTCTTAGTTCCAAACCAGATCTAAAAATTGCAAGAGGGCTAAGTCCACCTTAGACATCGATCTTAACTCGGAGTGATACTCAGTGAGATGGGTTGGGGGCACGTTGTACCACATCCACGAGGAGGCTCTCGCTGGACCTAACCTAATGGCCGACTATAGGAGCCAGCGAGTCGCAACATGGTTCTGCGTTTTTCTCGACTTCATAGTAATATTTTGTTCAACACTTTTAGCATACGTCTAGAGTAGATATTCACTTAGGTAACCAAGGAAAAAAATATTAATTTTACTTAAATGAATAGGCAAAACTTATTAGTGAACGAACACGGCGCTCCAAACGCCACCTAGCGGCAGCTTCTTGAAACCTGACTTTGAGCCCAGGTGGCTGACAGGCCGCACCATATGAGCAGTGGATTGACCACAGTTTGCGTTTAATGATACTAAAATTCTTTTTTGGTGCAACGTTTGATTTACTACTCATATCATCAAGCTACATTACTCAGGGAAGAGCATAGGAATATTCCGAATCACGATTGGGTTCAAACTCAGTCAAACCTGAAGTTCCTTCCACCCGGGCAATGTAAGAGCCATCAAAACCTGCCCATCACAAGTCAAAGACCGACATGAAAGTTTATATCTTGGTTATAAATTTTCAAAACCACACTAAATTTGTAGTTTCACGTTTTGACTTTTCATCAAATCTCTTGACGTTTCATTGCAGACTTGATTTTTCAATGAGATATTATGAATGAGATGAGAAAATTTCAAATTGCGATATCTCCGGAAGTATTCATATTTCGACCTTAAAATTTAGGGTCATCTAACCCCAGTGATAGGTAACATATTACCACAAAAGGAACGAAATCGGCAATGGTCACCTACGCGACCTGCTACACTGTGGCAAAAAGCTACGGAAAATTCTGTAAACAGCTTGTGGTAATTCTCCGTAGCCCCCTTATCAATATTCTCCGTAGGCTCTTACAGTATTTTCTGTAGGACCGCACAGTATTCTCCGTAGGGCCTTACAGTATTCTCCGTAGGACTATACAGTCTTCGAGGTCCTACGGAGAAGACTGTGCGGACTTACAGAGAATACTGTACGGCCCTACGGAGAATACTGTAAGAGCCTACGGAGAATATTGATAAGAGGGCTACGGAGAATCCTGGCAAAAAAATTAACAGGATTTTCCGTACCTCTTTGCCACAGTGTAATTAGTCTGGGATGCCCCTGATGTAAATTATAATTAAGGATCAAAGAAAAGATCAAAAATGCATAGAGAAAGTGATACCATTCATTTTACCCCTGCAACAACACTGGAGATTAAAGAAAAAAATGCCTCTTCTATAAGATATAACTAGACTTCATGCTAAAAAAACCGACACAAAATGACCGAACTGATGAAAAAACTTTAAAATTCAAATCCCAAGGTCGTACGACTGCCGAAAGACGTGCCCCAGGGGTCCAGTTATGCGATCAGGGATGTGTAAATTTTTCCCGATTATTACCCGAATAACACCTTTCTTATACTAATTCGGTGATTTTAAGACCTTTGGCCGAAAATTCAGTCCGTTTTGATCTATCTTAACTCCTTCATGCTCAGCAGCGGTCTAAACTACCAGAACCGTGGAAACAAACGAGTAGATCTCGAAAAGAATGTAAAAAATGTATCGGAAACGCAGACGAAATGCTAGAGAATCACTATCTTTCATCAATTCTAGGTGACCCCACTCGTCCAGTTTCGAAGGGGATGCAAGGTACAATTTTCCCAAAAGGTTTTTAAAAAATCGATATGAACACTTGAATATTGGGCTCCTATTTCGGGCCTTCGTGACCGAATCTGATCTTTCACACTCCGAAATAGTATAGTTGTGTTGTTAACGTAGGGAGCCCATAAGACGGGGATGGGATCGGAATAACGGCAAAAAAAATTGTATATTTTAGTCCTTTTGCATGGTATCCCATGGCACAGGAAACCCAAATAACTTTTGGGTCCGGACCCAAAAATTTCGGTCCGTACCCATATTTTTGGGTCTTCGTTTGGGTCCGAACCCCGATCGTATCGTATGGGTTCTCATTTGGGTTCGGACCCAACCGAATGGGTTCCCACTTGGGTCCGGACCCAAACTGTTGGGTCCCGACTTGGGTCCGGACCCCAACGCACAGTGGGCCAGAAGACCGGTGGAGGCGGCCAAAACTCTAGACGGGTTTTTAAGCTCCAGAGTCGCTAAATGGGACTCGAACCGAACGTGTGACCCCACCAATGGATTGCTCTCCGAACGAGGAATCCATTGATGGGGTCACACGTTCGGTTCGAGTCCTGCTTAGCGACTCTGGAGCTCAAAACGCGTCTAGGGTTTTGGCCGCCTCCACCGGTCTTCTGGCCCACTGTGCAACGGTTGAGTACACTCTTGGGGGTGGGCAGAAGGGCTCCCAAGTTGGCCCCCCCTGTTGCATTCCGTCTTGTTTTGCAGAGTGATGCTATGAGCCTTTGCAAAATCGGATGCTTGCTACATTCGTCTGTCTTGCTGCCGTAGTCATGATCATGACTAAAATTTTGGGTGAGGAATTCTTTATTACCCAAATTTGGGTGAGAAAATTTTCCTCGCCCAGATTTGGGTGAGGAAAGTTTCCTCGCCCAAATTTGGGTCATAATACTATGGAGCTATATAGGGAGCTGATACACTGAGATTCCAAACGCTATGAGTATAGCACGTGTGGTGCAATGCGCTGTGATATCGCACCATACGTGCAATGCCACAGCCATATTGCACCTTTGGTGCAATGCTTCCCGAAAAGGCCCTATGCTAATGCATGGGAAATGGGAGGCATTGCACTTCATGTGCAATGCTTTTGCATTGCACCAATTGACGCTATACTCATAGCGTTTGGATTCTCAGTGTGGGTGCCGTGAGGGTGGGTGTGTTGTAGCGTCCGCGCGGTGGGCCGCCGTATGGCGGTTGTGGACCAATACTGCGACGCGCGCGCGTTTGGAGCGCTGCGTGTGTCTCTCTGTTTGCGTCGTCTCCTCCCCACTTTCTTTTTGTCTTTTTCTCTCTGTTTCTCTTTTCGTCCTTTCTGTCCCTTTTGACCTTGTCCTCCTTTTCTGCATCATGTGCGGGTTGGGTGAATGGAATAAGGGGTCCGACACCGGGTTAATACATGTATTCTCAATCCTCGTGCTGAATGTTTACATCGAATTTATCGAACAGTTCAAACAGTGCAAGGGGGTGCAAACATTTTTTGACTTCCGCCAGTCGTTCGCAGGACGTCCACTCCTCTCGGTAGCAGCGCTGCGCCCAGGCCTCCTCGTTGGGCGGGAAGCCCGCGTTGCTCGTCAGGACCAGGACGGGCGTCCTGGAGATGAGTTTGGAGTTGGCCTGCAGATCGGACCCGCCGAACAGCAACTTCAGCGCTGGCATGGCGCCCGCCTCGGGGACGGCGGGCTCGTCCCAGAATATCAGTCGTTTGTTCACGCAGCTCCGAAAAGTGAATTTATTAGATCTAGAAGAATTCACCACCACACAGACGGATTTCACCATATTTCCGAAAAGCGTCTTCCCCGATCCCGCAGGGCCACAAATGATCAGGGTATTACGTTTAAATCCAATATATGGCATAATCGAGTGAGAAACTGTGTGATTCGTTCTGTGGTTCCATATTGATGATACAACAACATTTCTGCTACGTCTACTGATTCCTTGACAGACAGGTAGTGCGGGTTGACAAAGCCGCTGACTGCGGCGAACACGGGCGTGGCCTTGTCCTTCAATAGGATCTCTTTCAGCTGGAACAACCGACGGTTCCGCAGCTCTCTGCAAAACTGTGCCAGAGCGTCTGTCACGCCGGACGTCAAATACTTTGGGGCGCAGCCCAGTTCGGGATCGCCTATCCATTGTCGCAACGAGCGACATTTTTCAGGGGGGACAGGAAAATAGGTGTACAAAAACTCTTTAGTCCACGTGCGGATATAAACCTGTGCTACTTTCTTCCTTTCAAATTGCAACCAAAAGTGCGAATTGTCGTTGCGAAATTGTTGGGGCGTGAGTGCGAACTTTGCCTGTTCGCCCGCCTGTTCGCGCACCTCCTCGGTTTGTTTTCCTTCATCTTCGTCTTCCTCTGCTGCTTCTGCAAGCGCTTGGTGGATTTCTTGTGCGCCACGTCGCTGGCGTCGGTGCTCCCCCTCATCGGATGAGCTGCCGGTCTCTTCCGTTCCTCGTCTTCGTCCGTACTTTCTTCGCTTGTGTCGCTCTCGCTGTCCTCCTCCGACGTCGTGGTTTCGCTTTCGCTTACGTTGCTGCGCCCCTCCCGACCGCGAAGCTGATTTCTTCCTGATGCTGTCCCTGTACATGTTCGACGTCGTGTCTTCTACTTCCTTCTTGAGCGATTCTCACGTTTCGGGGTAGTTTTGGCGTCTCTGATTTGCCGAAAGTGAGAAATATCCAATGAAGTTTTTCTGATTATTGGGGTCCTGGATGATACTAGAGTTATGGCAATGGTATTTAT